AGCGAAAGTACCCCATTTTCAAACCGCATTACTTGTCGGTTTAGTGGAGCAAACTCATGTTTTAAAGTAACAGTAGAAAGAAAAAATCTTCCCGAATTCGATGACGTGTTTTGTTTTTATTTTCCTCAAAAAAAAGTGAGTTTGCTTCTGCATTATATCAAGGTCATTTTATTGGCGTGTGCACTGACCCGAATCAAGCATAATTACAATACGTAATTAGCATAACTAAAAAGCAATTCCTGTACCAAACAAGTCAAAAACAGTTTAATTAGGGTCTTAAATAATACAAATATAAAAACATACCTTCGAAAAAACGAGATAAACGGAGCCAAAATCGCAATGTATTTCAACAACTTTTTGCCAAACGTTCGTTGAAAATTATAATTGTGAATAATAATTAGATGCAATGCATTGTGGGAAGACCCTCATTCCTCCTCTGGCTCACTAATTAATGCACCATACAATTTGCTGAATAATAAACTCAGTAATATTAGCTACCAAATTTTAAAAAAGGAAATTTTGTCTGGGACAAAAAACTGCCCCCCCCCCCAAATATGAATCATCTGGATTGGCAGGGCGAATCATCTGGATTGGCAGGGCAATCAAAGATTTTAAATGACAGAATGTAGAGCTATTAGGTAACTTACGGGGCTTTCAGAGGGAATTGAGTAGAATTTATGGAGCTAAATTTTACAGATATTGGCCCGAAAAAAAAATTTTTGACCCTTAATTTAACTGGTATAAGTCTGGAAAAAATTTAATGTCCAGAAAAACTTTTTCAACCTCCCCCCGCACGCCAACATTTTTGGAAAAAATAGTGGCCAGAAATAAAAATTTGCTGCAGGGCATCATCGGTTTTGGCAGGGCAATTCTGGCAGACACCCCCCTCCCCCCAAATTAAAAGCGGCTAGTTTCGCCCCTGTGTGAAATAATGGCATTTCCTGCATTCTGAGAAATGCCAAGTACATATATTGATAAACCTTCTTTCATAAAATGAAAACTCAAGGTAATTTAAAAATAGTGACCATATACCCTTAATTCAACTGGTTTTATAACCCATTGAGTTACATTATGCTCAGTTACATGGATGTCGTCAAAGAATGCAAAAGCTTCAAAATATTGTATCGATCGTATTCATGCAAATCATGCTCCGGTGAACATAGTTTTGCATTATTCAATAGTAAACTAATTGTGATTTAATAGGTGTGGTTGTCAATGTTTGTGGGGTCAAGACGATACAATTTTTTATGCACCCTAACTTGATTATTTCATCATGTCTAATGCCAGGCGATTTTACTCACTATGTGCTCAATGGGTTAATGATTAATAATTATAGCCAATGTATTTGACAACTTGTATTATTTGCATACGATTAGCAATTTTAAATTAAACACTAAATACCAACTTCAGAGAATACTTGAATAAAGTTCAGACACTATTGGCTATAATGGGTCATTCCAGAAAACATCCATACCACCCCCACAGAGGAAATTGGAAGTTAACCCCCTACCCCCTTCGGATGTCCTAATACATTTACTATTATCAGAAACAATTTTGTCTCCCCTCCCCCTCCGAACGGCAGAAATTTCCTCCGTGGAGGGAGTGTTGATCTTTTCTGGAACGGCCCAATAGATGTTTGCACACTTACATTTTCGTTTTGTACAGTGTACACCCAAGATCTCATTCAAAACTGTCGTACTCTGGCCTGAGCCCAGAGCCCTATAGCTATACCTGCTTATTTTTCACCCTGCTCGGTTTCCTTTGTTCTTGTCGGGGAATATATCCAATATTCCCCTCTAATCAATTTCCGTTTAATAATCCCCTCTAATATTCACCTGCAATTAATAATCCCCTCTAATATTCACCTGCAATGTCTTTGCAGCACAAAAAATGAGAAAAAACAACATCGCGAAGGCAATATGGCATTAAGAATTATTTCTTTTCTGACTCATTAACGCGACCTCGCAAGTGTGAAAAATAAGTACGTTATTTTGAGGCACCTCGGGGATATGTGTTTATTCACCTCGGCGCTGCGCGCCTCGGTGAATAAATCACATATCCCCTCGTTGCCTCAAAATAACCTATACTTATTAGCAACTCCCCCCCCACCCCTCCCCCCACATGCAGCTTAACAACTGCCCACTATAAGCTTTGAAAAAGTAGAATATATAAATTATAGGCTGGGTATGGTAGCAATTATGATAAGCAAGACCAACTAATTAGCCTGATCACTGACACTTAGTGACTCACAGTTACATAACATGGAAATGAAGTTGTACAGTCTGACAAATTGCATTAATAATTGTAAATATACTCAATACAATTGGTCAAAACAACTAGCGTTAACAATCGTACAAAATACCTATTCCTTACATAAGCCCTTTTCGACTGCTTGATATTTTTAATAATATAATATATATATACCCCCTTGATCAACTTACACAAGTACCACCAAGTCTGCCATGTTCAATGATTGCAGTTTTAATACCGTACGATGCAGCTCTTCTTGCACTTGCTAAACCACCAGATCCTGCACCAATTACCAAGTAATCATACATTTTCAAAATACTTTCTGCCATTTTCGTTTACAATTGTTAATCGAGCACTCTTCCTGAACGAAGCTTTCTCGTGTGTTTATATACTAGATGACGTACAGTATATTTAATAATTAAAAAGCTGAGTCATTTAATATTCAATTCGAAGAGCACCCAAGGTGAAATTAAATAGGCATGGTAAATGAAAATTACATAATTTACATTCCTTAATTAATTAAAACTGATAGTCGTCCTTTATGATTTTGTGACATTTTCGTCTCAAGGGCGTCAGAGGACATTGGCAGAGATTTAATTAATATGGGGTTGGGATTACATTTATAATACATCAACCATAGCCACCTATCAGACCATGTGGGTTCACATTCAGGGGGGGGGGATGCCCAGGTCGAGAATTGTAAAGGGTTATATTGTCATGTTTCGCACATAATATTATGTACATTTGGGGCCCAGATCATTTTTGTGTGCGACACATGGGCCAATGGCAATATATTAAAATGTATAGTACTATTTGGAGACATATATTACTTTAATATCTCCCCCCTTCATAAGACGTACAATCTGAGAAAATCTCCAGCATTCCTTGTTAAAAAAGACTGTTTCTAAGGGACCAGTCATTATTTATGGTGGGGGGTGGCACCAAAGAGAAAATGGTTGGGTAAACTAAATTTTGAGTACCAAGTAAATGGTTGGGTAAATGAAAAACAAAACAACTCAAGGGTTGGGTAATAAAAAAATATTGTTATTTCCAAGCATGACTCACTGAAATATTGGAGACTAAAAAGCAATGTCAACAGTCATATGTCAATACAATATGTGAATCAATCAGAGTCACTATCTTGATCATTTTCCGATTTGTTGGGAGAAAAATGGTGTCTCCAAAGAAAGTACATGTGCAGACAACATGAAACTTTAGACTGGAGAAAATTTCACAATCCGTTATCAAACTCATGTCACAGAAGTGGTAAGACAACTGAATGGTATCTCTTTGTAATGTTTTTGACCAGGGGTGGGTATTTCTTTTTTAATTGATATTTGAGGTTGGGTAACCAAATATTTTACTTTTTAATGGTTGGGTCAACAAAATTTTTGCCACGAAAAACATTTCTCTTCGGTGCCACCCCCCACCATAAATAATGACCGGTCCCTAATGTCAGAGTAATTTTAAAGACATTTCTTTAACACTCTATCTAGTGAATACAATGTTACGAGTAAAACTGAATAATTGCTGTGAACAAGCTGTAATTAAGGCATATATATATTAATTGGGCTCTTCTAAACGAAGCTCTTGACTGCAGATGCCCCCAGTGGCAGCATCCCTATATAAGACCAATCTCGCAAGCAAGGGCCTCCGTGGCGGGACGTGGAGGCCCTTGCTTGCGAGGTTGATATATTACTAGACCCCAATTAATACTGATTTCATGAGCTCATGATCTTGTTTCAATTTATAGATCTTGTTTCAATTTATAGCTCCTGTTGCATGCAGAAAATTCATAAATATTGTAACCTCCCTCGTTCTATTCGATTCACAACATGAACTAATGGCAGGCCTGCCACAGTGGTGGACACTTTGTAAAAAAGTGGGGGGGGGGAGGGGGTTTTACTTTTTTGCTCTAAATTTCATGCACATAAATTTGCTTATTTGGTCTACCAAATATATTGCTTTTAATTGCATGGTTGTACAATTATTGTAACACCGTAGTGACACAGATATGCAGCCACCATTCAATTAGCTTTCAGAAATTATCAATCCAACTTCCACTACTGTCCGCCACTGTCTGCAAATACACATTGTCTGATTTACATCCTAAAATATGCATGCAAGTTGCATATTGCAATGATATCCAGATACAAAAGCAGCACAACTTTGGTATGTATATATATTTACATTGTGATTTACCTGTGATCTGGCTAATATCACGTTTTGCATAAAGTTAATGAGAACTATAGTGTCAGTTAACATGTCAGTACAAGTATCTACAACTACAATATCCAATGAATCTTAAATCAGCTTGTGTTACCTATATGTATCTAATTGTCTATAGAAACCCAGGTTATATTCTTTTCAGTTTGGTTGATGGTGACTGTCAATTCAATAGATATAGTTATATCCAATGATGATAGATATTAGATCATCAAATTCAACATGGTCAAATAATAAAATATTAAATGAATATGTTTTATCTCCTAAACTTGACCTGAGTAACAACAAAATGTCTTTGTTCAGTTTGCCTGTAACAGAACCCTTTAACGAACCACGAAGATTTTTAAAAATTGTTGTAGCTTGTGGTGTTGCGATAGCCTGTGTAACATGATATTGGCCTGGAGCCTTGCTCGCCAGGCCTTGGACAGAGACATGTTTGATAACTTTCTCATTTTCATCAGTGTTCGGCCATTGGGAATTGATAAACACACTTGGAAAAAAGGATGGGAACATTTCAACCATGGATACATTGTCATAAAACACAATAACCTGCTCACCGGCTACCCATAATTCCTGCAGACTTGCTATCGACCTATCTTTCCTTGGCGAATGTAACATGCTGCCAAAATATTGATTAATTAAACTTGCCAACCGGACATGTTCTTCAATTTCCATGCCATACAAATGATTGAAATCTAGCAAGACCACTTCTTTTGGATTCTCTGTCAGAAATGTCTTTATCTCTTCTAAAATTTCATCAACCGTATGACCAAACAGACCATGCACAAACCGGAATTCGTCGCTTGCTTTTCTATAAGCCACTCTCAAGTCGAAATAACGGATGCCGCCACAAAGTTGTTGTGTAACATTCCAACTCTGCGTCAAAGCCCACTTATTCACAAAAGATTTCATGGTGCTATCAATGAATCCAACTTTATCACTCATGCCCGAGATAATTTTTGGTTTGTCTGGGGCCAGTTCCATCGAAGTATCGAACCAAAATGAAGCAGAATTATGAGACCCAGGCATTGTGAGTTGATTCAGAGGACACAATTGCTTTTCGTTTGGTAAATTTTCCATCCATCTCGATAGATTTTCGTTTTGCGACTGCGTTAATGTATGACACGCTAACCCATTTTCTTCGTGAGCTAAACAAGAATTGCTCTCCGTTAAATTTGCCATGTCAATGCTTAAATATTAATGCAAATATTGTAAATATGTCTTCGAAAGTCTGGTGGCAACAGTTCAGTTGCATATTAAATTTACTGAAGCACGCGGTGGAAACCGGAAGTGGTGTTCTGGAATTCTTGGAACAACTTGAAATTCCCAGAACAAAACAATCCGTGGGTCATTTTGGACAACTGTTTTCCGTGAAAATGGAAAATGGATTTTAAAATATTTTATTAGAAAACCGTTTTCCTTGAAAATGGAAAACGGATTTTAAAACATTTTACTATTAGAAAACCGTTTTCCGTGAAAATGGAAAACGGATTTTAAAACATTTTACTATTAGAAAACCGTTTTCCGTGAAAATGGAAAACGGATTTTAAAACATTTTAACGGGTTTTTTCGAACCGTTTTCTATAATTCGGAGATGTGCGTGCAGTTAAGTGGATTGTTGATGATATAATTTTGAACGGTCGGTGCCACTCTAAAGAAGTTCAACTGCCTTAAAATACAAGCAAGAGTTTTGAGCGAAGCCGAAGGGCATTTATCTCGAATTTCTTTCACTCCGCAGCAATTTGAAATCTGATTGTTGTTTATGGCATTTTTGTCTTTCAAGAAATACGAATGTTGATTATGTGCTACTTGATTGCGTTTTAAGATAATCTCGCGTCGAATACCAATTATGCTTTAAATTTATAATTGATTAATTTTACACTTGACTACAATCCATCAAATATAATAAAGATGGCGTTCATCGAAAGCCTTGTCGACGTAGAATTCGTAAAGGATTTAGTATGTAGTCAAGGCAAAACACATGAGGAAGTTTCAAACATTTTAAAGGAGATGTTTCCTGAAACAACTCGCGGGCTAGGCGAGAAGAGTGTGTACCGCTTTTGTAAGGAACACGGATTAAGAAGGACCAAATCTGACGCAGAACTCGATGTTACTGTGAGAAATGCTGTGTCTATGGTAAGCGTATATTTACTAGAATGGTAGGGGGGTAGTGCGGCTAGAATGGTGGGAGGGGGTAGTGCAGCTAGAATGGTGGGGAGTGTAGATATTTAAAATTGAAGAATGTATATTATACCCAACCTACAGGCGTAGGGACTCCCCGCATTGAAGTATATACACACATTAAAGTAAAGGACCAACTTTGCATAACTCCTTTCAATCTCCAAAAGCCTTGTCCGGGGGTGGGGTGAACGGAGATTGTGTAGAAAAAGTTTGTTGGTAAATTGATTGGAAATGGTCGGTAAATTGATTAATGAATAAAATTGAGTTGGCTGGTAAACGTAGAGGAGCAGCCCACCAGTTGAAAGGGTCCTTGTCTACGACGTTCTCTTCAGAGAAGCGCAAAACCTTCTGATTTCCATGAATATTTTCACTGATGTGTATGTATGCTATTTCAGGTTGGTCCAGTATATGGAAGGAAAATGCTGAAGGGATTTTTGGACAGTAGAGCTAAAATAGTAGTGGCATCCGAAAAACGAATTGGTTCTTCTCTTGCCAGAGTCAAACCAGATAACCATAGAAGGAGGCAACAGAACATTGCCAGACAGATAAATCCTACTCCATATGTTGCTACGCATTTTGGTCACAAATTACATATAGACCAAAACGAGAAGCTTGTCAGATATGGTGCTACTCATGTTGGCGCAATTGATGGTTTTTCTCGTTTTGTAACAGCTTTTACTACAATGCCCATTAAGAACAACTTGCTGATATATGATAATATTTACAGGTAAGTATATATCAGTGTCGTGTAAGTGTAATATTACCCATGGAAAAACAAAACCGAATGATTTTTTCTATTTAATTTTTTACACTTTTGTAGGAAGACTGTTCTTGACTTCGGAATGTTTGATCAAGTCAGGACTGATCATGGAAAGGAATTTGTCTTGATACAGTTTGTGCAAGAAACTTTAGCTCATCTGAGAAGAAATGTTGATATTGATCCTCATCGACAAACCGAATCCAAGCATGTAAGGAACAATGTTTCAAATTAAATATACAATGTTTAGAGTGCTCAATTCCACGTTCTTTGTCGAGCGAATTAATATTAAATTCTTAATTTGAAGGGACACAGTCACCAATCGGCCTTTCTCACGCCGCCATTTTTGGATGGCTTTTCAACCGAAGTCTTCGATTTAAGTCCCACATAACAGCGACTTTTTATAATTTTTTGGACGAATGTTGGTCAATTTGCTTTGTAAATGGTTAAATTATGCTGAAAAATTGCTTTCCACATTCTTTTACAGTCGATTTCACAAAACTTTTGCCAAAATGTTCCAAACTTCGTTCCGAAGTTCACAAAATTCGTTTCGAAGTTCACAAGTTCAACATTCAAATTCACAAGCCGGTTTGTAAACAAGACCTCTGATTGGTCCATGAATTGAAAGAAGCCAATCAAATACTTAGTTTACAAACCAGTTTGTGAACTTATGAACTTGCAAACTTCAAACTTTGGAACTTCGAAATGAACTTGCAAACTTTGAAACAAAGTTCAGAACATTTTGGCAAAAGTTATGTGAAATCGACTGTAATTATCTGCATTAGTTTAATAACGAGAATTAGATGCCACCCAAAAAAGGTAAAAATGGCGGATATTCACGTGAGAGGCTAATTGAGACTAATTGAGCGATGTTATTTAGTCCGATATAAAATTCCAGAACTTTTTCAAGTCAGTGATTTGCTCATATCATGCTAAAATAACATCGCTCAAACGGTGACTGTGTGTCTTTAAATAGAGTGATAACTCTGCACGAGTTTAAGGCTCAATTACTCATATTTGTTTTACCTATACCAGTCAGTTAATTTTTAGAATCTTCCTATTGAACGTTTTTGGGTTGAAATAAATGGAAGAGCCAACTACCCTATAAAACGTGTTTTGGTGGATATGGAAGCATGTGATGAAATTGACATGGACAACAATGAGACAAAGTATTGTGTTTCATGGGTAACAAGGAAATTAGTATCCATTGCAACACACAACACTGTGGAATCATGGAACAACCATTGCATACCAAGTAGGTTTTCAGAAACTATACCCACAATCCGTAGCTGACAAATTACGAAAGTACTGATACTCTTCAGTCTGTGTTACCAAATGCAACATACTGAACGATTTTCCAGTCCCGTTACTTAAAGGGAACTGTCATACCGTTCAGTCTGAACCACGGTCGGTCGGTCGGTCAGTCAGTCAGTGACCACCATCATTTGTCAATTTTCATAAAACAATGTACAACTATAAGTCAACTTTCAAACACATCCTAGGCTCTTTGGAAAAATTAAAAAGATAATTAAAAATGTTTATTTTCATTTTTGACAGGACGAGGAAAACCCGTCATTCTCAGGGACAGTAATAATTTAGCGCAAGTGATCGACCCTATCTACCTTCCTGCATGTGATGAAGCTGTGCAGGTCTATGAAAATCTAGGAGGAAGGCTAACCATGGAACCGCAGTTTGGAGAAGACCCGTTAAATGGTGATGAAGATTTACAGACCAGAAGAGAATTACTTTGGTTAAATAATGTACCTGATGTGAATGTTATATGTGGCCACCTTGTCAATGATCTTGACCACTCTTTCAGACACGCAGTGAATAGTTTTTGTGATCTTACCAGGCAGCTTTCCGCTTGATGTATGAATTTTATTAACATACTACAGTCGTGGTCAAAATATTGGCACACTTGACACTGCGACATTTGACTCCCAACATAATAATGCATATCTACTCGCTATTGGTTGTACCTCATGCAGTTGTACCTCATGCAGTTGTACCTAAATTAATTAAAGTCTAAGACTATGTTTAAAGAATTATGTACTAGACATAGTACAGGTGATATATTTTTGGTTTACAAACTTTAAGCCACCATGCATGTTATTTGGTCCTGATCGTGTTTGGAATTTCAAACGTCCTTCGGACGACAAGCTCCCGAACCACATTACGTTTGACATTAAGTTTCCATGTTTAACAAAACGCAACAGTCCGTAAAGTTAGTATAATCAAAATGTATATACTGATTAGACAGTCTTAAAGAGTTACTTTGAATTTCAACTGCGATATAGCAACAGCATACCCGCCATGGGCCATGGGAATATAGTCTTGTTTACCGCATCATAGTCATAGACATATAGTCCAGACGGCTTTGTTTGTTTCCTATATGCCATCACTTTTAGAAATTTCCGTTTTGAGCTGACTAAGAAATTCTAATCCACGTACAATATGTATTCCTTCAGTATCATGACTTCTGCAATTTGGACAAGCTCTTGTTGTTGCAACAGCTGGAGTTATGCACGTTTCACAGCCAAGTATTTTACCACAACAATTCGCAAAGACGGCCGGTGGTTCTATCACATATTTGCATATGATACACTGTAGCTCCTTTCCAATTTCCAAAATAAGTTTAGTGCTTTCAAACATGGCTAGTGTGTGCAGGTCTGCCTTTATATCAACAACAGATTGTTTTATTTCGTTGAAGTGCTGTGACATTTCTTGGTTGGTGTTCTCAATTATGTCATCTGTAAACCAAAAATGCAACAAAAATTGAGCAATAATGCCTATATAAACTGCTTTTATGACATGGTATATTAGTATTTCATGGAACTAAGCTATATAACAAATTGACGATATACAGTATGTACAACAAATTAAACTGTTATCAGAGGCAACAACACATATCAATTTAATTTAATTTTTATATGTATAATGTATTGTTGGTAGTTACCTTTGATCTTAGTCATGAGATTGTTCAACTTTTCATCTTTCTTTTCATCATCTTCAATGTTCACTACCTCAGGCTCACTGCTCTTTTCATGGGGACTGCAAAGATTCTTCTTGAATTTGATTTCCAAAAAGATAAACCTTAATAAAGTTACATACAACACTTTTCAGTATATAGTATAATTAGGGTATACATATAAACTAATTCTGGATGCATGTTGTAGAAGATATATAAAGTCCATCCAACAACAAGAGTCAGATTGGTATATAGCTTGATAAAGTTCAGGGTAAATAGTTTATAATAACTATACTTTAAGTCTAGTTTATACTGTGGCATAAATATGAGATTTAGCTTTAATATTACTAAATTAAAATTATTTTTAAACAAACATGTACAATGTCAATGTGTCAATGCAAGGGGCGGGCCGGATTTTCTTTTTTTTAAAGGTGGGGTGGAAAAAATTCTATAGTTGGGCGCAAGCGGCACCACTGAGCGAGTTTTGGCAGGGGTTATAGGCATTAAGGTTACGACTTTCAGCCAAAATAGGAGGGTTGAAGCAAAATTTTGGTGGAATTGAACACTTTGTTAGAGAGATTCTAAGGGGGTTTAACCCCCCTAACTCCCCTAGTAAATCCGCCCATGTCAGTCAATGGGTAAAATGGTTTACACAAGCATTTTTAAAAAACTACATTGTAAATACCATAATATAAAATCATAAAATAGAATTTCAAACCACATCAAATAGAAAACATTTGTACCTTGGGTAGCTTCACTATCTTCTATAGATAAGCCATTGCTGGAAACAATAACCAAAGTTTCGTCATCAAACTCTTTCCTGCAAGCTTTCGTTATTGAACCAACATCGGCACTATCTTCGGCAATCATAATATATTTCTGACGTGATTGATTAACAATCTTGTTCCTTTCAAGCTCTGCTAGAGTAACTTTCAAAGAATATTTCACTACTTTCTGTTTCTTCGATGGTGGTAAAGAAACTGCTTGTGCTGTTGATACTGGTTTAGAAGACCTGTTAAATCATAAAAATCCGTTTTTGTCATCTAGTATTTACACAGTAAGGCAGTTAATATAAAGTAAGAACCAATAGCCCATTAGGAGTACGGGGCAAGGGGGGGAGCTGCCCCCAGTCAAAATGAAGGCGGGCAAATTAGTATAGGTAATCGCATGGGGTCGAGTAAAATTAAGGTTTAATTTCACGCGTGTTTTCAAAGTTAACAGAAGTGAAATTAAATCTTAATTTTACGAGGAACTGTGCGATTACTTGTTAATCATATAGAGGGCAAAATGTATTCGTATGTTAATTGTGAACTTGTCAAGTTCTTGAACCTCAATCGTATGTCTCAATTCTTTATCAACTAGGGGTAGGTCTTAATTCAAAAGCCTGTCCAGGTTTCTAGTGGATGTCTAGACCTTACATTACTTATTTTACATAATTAATTACTATTCTTGTAAATACTACTGGGGAAAAAATTTAAATAAATAAATACCTACAACCAGTTTCGAATGTCTTGTCACAGATGTTGAGATGCAGCAAAAACGTTTAATCCTGATTTTAACAAATGTCGATCCCCCGCATCCCCCTGCCCGCACTCCTCCCCCTGCCCGCGCTCCCCCCCCCCCCCCCCGCCCGCACTCAATAAATATAATAATAAAATGTTTTAAAATCCATTTTCCATTTTTATGGAAAACGGTTTTCTAATAAAATGTTTTAAAATCCGTTTTCCATTTTCACGGAAAACAGTTTTCTAATAAAATATTTTAAAATCCATTTTCACGGAAAACGGTTGTCCAAAGTGACCCACGGATTGTACAGGCGTTTATGAAGAAAATATTGCGAGACGAAGGAAATCAGTTGAGTCAGAGCTCCTTATTCTAATAAAAAAGACGAGGAGATAGCCAATATGTTATCGCCAACGGGTTATCACCAATCGCTTGGCTAACCAAGAAGCTTTATGCAATGGAAGAAAAAAGCAAGGAGGTACATGTAGCCAACGTGTACTGTCGCGCACCTTGTTTACTGTCTAGCACAACGCCGTTGTCAACGGTGCAAACTCGTGTTCAGTGCAACGTTAACTCTACCAGATCTTATGAGAATTAATCTGTAGTATTCTGTACACAGAACTGTATCAAAGCTTGTCAAAACTGCTTTAAACACTGCTATAACTGTGAAACTATTGAAATCTAAAGTGACATTATTCAAAACATGCGAAAAGTTAAAAATAGACACAACGTGACACTGGGAAAAGTCAAAGGTCAGTGCGGACTTGTTATTTAATTGTAAAATATGTCACAATTAGGTTAAAATGCGGAAGCGGATGGAGCGGACCACAGAACGGAAATGCGAAAAAAATATGGAACGGATGAAGATAAAATGCTTCCTTTCAATGATGTAACGACGTAGTGCTTATTATTTATAACATATCGTATACATCTATTTCAATTATAAGTTTGCAGTAGCCTTGTGCAGATGCTTTTATTAGCGACAACTGCAATTGAAATTTTGAATTGTCGTGTGTAGCATCACAATAAATAGATAAATTGTATCAGTTTCACAAAGTACGTTTCTGATGTGTTAGGCTTGTTTCAAACGTCACGCTACTCGTGTGTCGAGCGCATTAAAAGCAATATATAATGAGATGAAATGCCGTTGGTGATTGTTTATTTCGTAGTGTAAGACATCAGCTTTTCTAGGTTGTCAGCGACCCTATATAGTTCTTGCAGAATCTTTTTCAATTTGAAACTTCACACTATCCTTGGATCCCTAGTTTAGAAATTGAAAACATTTGCATAGCATGACTAAATTGTCAGGCTAGCTTTGCCACTACAATAGGCAGAGACTTTTTGTTAATAGAAGGCTCAATAGTTTATGAAATTTGAAACACTTACTGTAAATATTGTATATAGTAAACAAATTATTTTAATAATATTGATATTATTAGTGCATTTAACAATGGGACAGAATAAATATTTACACATAAAGGCAACTAAAGTCATGTTGAAATCCTTGAAGTTTCTGACCTCATGCACAGGACTGTAACTTGGCCTCATGCACAGGACTGTAACCTGGGTATTATTACAGCTGGGGGGTGAGCTTATTTTGCCCGACCACATTTCAGGTGCCCAAAATTATTTTTCAAAAAATTATGTAAATTTTTTTGCTGAATTACATTTTTTGTGCCTGATGAGTATGTCATTAAAATTGACAGACAAAACTGTAATGGGTGGGGGTGTCACCTCCCCCCCTCCCCCCAATAGTTATGGCCCTGCTCATACATGTCGCCTCTGAATCGTTTCGGTCATAGTATTATTTATAATAGATGTTTACATGAGACCGGGATGAAAAAAACTCAGACTGGTCTGAAGTCATTCCGCCTGCTGGACCAAGCAGACTGACTTCAGACAGGCACGAATTCAGACCGGGATGAATGTAAACACAAATACATTTCAGACCGGTCTCGGCTGTAACCTTGACATTGGAACAACACAAGCTAACAAAAGCCATCTAGAAAAGAAAATTGCCTGGCAAGAGGGATAAATTGAAAATTTTGTGATTTTCATACCGGTCTCATGTAAACATGTTGACTTTCAATTTTCATTCCGGTTTGACTTGGTCCCGGTCTCATGTAAACAGGGCCTTAGAATAGTATAGTGCGTATTACAATACCCAATGATAAAAGATTACTTTTTACAACTTGCAACCCAATTGAAGTGAACACTTTGTCAGACAGTTCAGAAACTTCGCTGTTTCAATATTCTTACTGTTGAGCCCAGTGTTTTTGAGTTTAAATACCAACTTATGAATATTAAATTAAAAGAAGAGTTTTGTGGTATATACATATAGTATGCACATAGGTAATATTGTTTCATAATACATACATTCTTCCATGCACAAGCTATTTGTTCTTTTGTGAAGACTTGCGCTTTCTTTTCGGAAGAGGTTCTTCCGAGACTACTACCCATTTAGAGGATTCTCCTTTGTGCCGGCCCATTACATTCCCTCTTACAACAGGAGCAACACTACGCTGAGCAGCAATGGTGAGGTTGTTGTAGCCAAAACTTTGAACAGTTGGCCTCCTTGGCTTGACCGCTGATGACCAAAGTATTCTTCGAGAAGATCTTGGCAAAATTTCTCAGAGCACATATTCCAGTCCTTCTGAAAGCAGGAATTTTGTCACCTCAACTAGGGAATGGACTGTCATTCTCAAGCCATGGTAGGTCTGATGAGAGATGAACATTTTTGCTCGATCGTCATTTGAAAAATTCCCCGTCCTTTGGTGAATTACAGTCAGCCACTCTTGCAGATACACCAAAAATGTATTCTGTAGCCAGTTAAAACGCTCATCATCGGCACTGGAATATGGAGCTAGGAAATCATTTCTTTTTCTTGTGTACTCGGAGGTTGACCAGACATTGAGGCAGTCGAAGAATCTGTTTATCATTTCACAGAACCTTGCAGTTTCTTCTGCTGAGCCATCAGTGTAGAAATGTCGCAGTGCAAGAGCCATAGTACTACTTAACACCTGAGCAGCCAGATTGACCTTCATCTTTGAAAATTATGTCAAGTTGATGTGGTCTGGTGTGATCTTTGGAAGCTGGTGTAAACCTTGGTCTAAATCTGCATAATACAGAGCAGAGACATGCCTCCAAATCATATCACAACTATTCCACATCAACCTGGAATGTTTTCCCATCCCAGAGTTGAACAAACAATTTCAGGAGGTCTTGATGAGATGTGGGGCATCAGAGAAGAAGTAAATGTACCTTGATGGTGCAAACAGGTTGATGGTTCGATGAACAACATCGACAGAGTAGTTTTCCCCAACAAGAGATGCATGCAGTTCATAGAACTTTCGGTTAGATGAGGCACCATCGCTTACAGCTGCACACACCCACAGGTTACAAGTTACCTCCAGGATGGAAACAGCTTTCCAGAAAAGTGGCATTATCTGGAAAGAGGTGAGGCTTTGTGTACTAAAATATCCAAGGATATACTTCAGATCACTAGCAACACCTCTTACCATAAATGCTAGAACATGGCTTGCCAATGTGGTGGGGGTATCAAACACAGCAGTATTGACATCTTCATCACCCAGATCTACAAAGCCGATTAGCTCATTCGTGTGCTTGTCAAACACCAAGTTTGACTGTATTTTCATCTCGTCAAAGGATAAAACCACATAGCGTTGACAATCAAAGAGCTGTTTGGTAGCATCACATAATTTCTCTATATTTTCCTTACGAAATCCAGGATTGGGCTTGAAAAAGTTCCTGTAATCACGAAGAACTCTTTCACTTGGTAAAACCAAGACACCGGATGATGACAGTTCTCTGTACACAGATGGAGATTTGGCATGAATAGAGACACAAAAGCAAATCAGGTGGGGATGATATCTTCTGCCAAACTTTGGGGAGGAAAGTAATTTATTTTGCTGCTGCCAGAAAAAGTCCATGTGTGGTGTTTTCTTCAAGTCAGCATTGCCCAAAATATTAAGGATGTCACCCTCAAGAGACTCATTTACAGTGATGCTATTCGAGTTTATCTCCTTTTCCAAACCTATCTTTCAGACCCTTTGCCTCGATACGCTGTTGCTGTATGGTAGCAATTAATTGTTCTTTGCTAGAACCAGATAAAGGAGCTTTCTCTTTCAATGATGTTGCTTTTTTGATAACAGACTGCTTTTGCCTGTTAACTTCTGACGCAAGGACCTTGGAACAGCTATCACAAGCATCCTCGCCAGACGTTTGCAGCACAAGACAATCAGCTGATCGCAGGTAAAGTGACACCTGGTATGGTGTATCTTTGTCACAGTATACTTCCGGACAAAGCGGAACAGTGTGCCTTGTCACTTCAGATACACCATCAACAGGGTCGGTTAAATGTAGTAGAGTGGTGGTAGAGTCGGTTAGTGGCAGGCCAGGGCAAACATAAAGATTCCTTATCTCAGTTATCAGTGATGCAACTGATACATAAGTCACTGAGTGTTTATGTTCCAAGTAAATGTGGTGATTTTCTGGCAAAAACCAACCAAAAGCTGCAACAGTAAAGCCAAGACCAGAATCTACCTTCAGAGTGTAGAGTGGTAGTGCATGCTTGCCATCAAAATAATCTAAGCTGAATGTATTTTCATCAAACGTTCGAGACCAACCCATCAATCCAAGCTTGGAAACCTTTGATTTCAAATCGTTTATGTCCTTATAAACTTTAGAAGGCACCAACTCTTTCTTTTCCATAATCCGCCTTGATGTTGAAGGCTTCAATTCTTCGTGCGATTTCTTGGGTAAATTTATGGTTGGAATAGATCCCCGTTTCAATGTCTTGCTTTTTTCATCTAAACAACAATATTTTATTAATATACAATGTTTCATTGTTCACATATTTGTTCAAAAACAGCGAAGGTCAGTGAAGCATTGAAGCTCGCAACATATTGTAATAAAGCTTGAATATTCATGACTTAGATAAACACAAAGAAGTTAGGATACTTACGTTTATTTAAACAATTCTCCTCAAAATGTTTTTCGCAGATATGTAGATTCCCAGCACTTATTTGACGCCGCAAATCTTTATCGATCTCTCGATTTCGGGTTATAATTCGCACCCACTCTTCATGTGTTTTAGTCGATAAATCGTCTTTGCCTTTCGGAATAGAAAATATACTTATACCAGAATGTCTTCTGTTCGAACCACAACTGAATATACTACAATTTGCTCCTACCATCGCATATAGCGCCGGAAAATGCGAAAAAACCAAGGTGGTCCTTAATAAACTCTATTAATGAATGCGCCATTGTGCACTCGGATTTCAATTACGACGAGACAATAACATATGTGATCATGTGACCTGGCCTTCCCAACCATGTTTATTATTTCTATTAACTATGGTGTATCTCGGGAACCACCTAGACGTAAACAAATGCTGACAAACTTTATGTAGATATGTTGCTTGTTCATGTCGTTGTTATTATCCTAGTCCACAGCCATGAAATACTTAAACAAAGTAAGTTAAAATTTGATATTTTTGTCAACTCCTATACTGTGTATAGTAATTTTTGTACACCATATTAGGGTTTGGTGCACATGTCCATCGCCATCTTGTCCCAAATTTCTGGTAATGTAGGTGTGCTTATGGCCCATGATGTTATCAGTGACAAATGTATGTGTCAGCAGGAAGGGAAAATAGTTTTTTAAATAGTTTTTCAATGAACATATGTAACATAGAAAGAGGGCTTTCCAGTCAAAACGTCCCCAGGTCAAAACGTCCCCTGGTTAAAAGCATAGATATAATAGACCTAGATTGCTGACATATACCTAACGCATGTGACCCCAGATAGAAGAATCCAAGATGGCGGACAAACCGGGCAAACACATTAGAAGTTCTATTACGAAATGCTATTTTTTCAAAGATTTCTATGGCTTGTTGCTACAAATCCCTTCCGATCACACTTTTTTTTTAAAGAACTCTTCATTACGTAACTTTTGAAAGGAAAATGGACTGTATTTTTACAAAAATATCCTTCACTGAACTTTTCATGAAATTGGTCACTTGGTCAAAATGTGCAACTTTGATGGCAAATGTGCTTTGTTTTACTACCTACGAACTCTTGATTTGCCTTTTATCATCTACTGGTGTTTGGAAAATAATCATTTTTAGGCAAAAGTACACTCTTTTTTCGTGGAAACAAATTATTTGGTATTTATTTGCAAAGTGATTGTTCGTATGTGTACGGGACGGTGTCATCAGATACTGTACATATTTGTGCCGATGATTTTTGATGAGGTACAGCTCTCCAATCAGAGGTAATGGTACGCTTTTGTCTTCTAAATATCCCTCATCAAGCATGCAGGGGAAAATTAGAAGACAAAGAAATTGTTTGTTTTCAACTAAATATCCCTGTTTCCCGGGAAAATTTGAGACAAAAGCGTATGCATGGGTAACGAGGGAAATACGTGATTAAACGTCCCTGTTGAAACAAAAGAAACCGAGGCGCTACAATGTTTTTACCCAAATAAAGTCAAATCTGTTGGCCAAATGTCAGATATTCTGTCAGTTTTAGATTAATTTTAAACTATTTTCACATATAATATTTTTGGATTTCTTCTGATTTGATGAATGAACTAAATCAACCACGGTTTGATATATTCAACCAGGGTCAGATAGTTATGATTTTATTAGGTGAATATGTTGTTTAGTGGCTAAATTTCCTTGCTAAATTTCATATATTGGTGATTGTATGCATGTATCATGACAGTTGGCTTCAATTTACTAACGCTAAAACGTTCTGAAATCTTGGCACTATTACAATTATGTGCAAATAAGTTGCCAAATAAAGCAATTAATTCAGAGTTGCATACTCCCATGTCATAACTTTATGTCTATGAACATGTTTATTCTTTTATAATTTAGTTGCAGTTCAATTTATTTCAACACAAGAGTTAGGGGTTTTTGGCCTTAGGGACGTTTTGGCCTGGGGACGTTTTGACTGTGCAGATTTGGGGACGTTTTAACCTGGGAACGTTTTGACTGGATACTGAAAGAGGTATGATATTGTAAATATGTCAAAAGTTTGGAAACACTTTGTTTTGGTATTACCATTTCACTAATACGAGTAATTAGAAATACTACTAAAGAGAAAAGAAACAAATCACAGCCAATACGGGTGGACGATTTTTATGGTGGTGTGAAAATACAATATGGATGGATATTCGGCAGAGCAGAGGAAACAATCAAACCACAGCCAATCATTAGACTACACACAAAGGATGTGTTTGTTTGTCCCGCATAATAAGCAATATACCACATATTCGTGCAGCGTGATTATTGGATGCAGTTTGTTTCCTCTGCTCAACTGAATATCCCATCTACTGTACTTTGACACCATCATAAAAATCTTCAGCGTGCAATTTAATTATTGACTGTGCTTTGTTTCCTTTCACTAACAGGATTAAAATAAAATTTGTGGAAGATTGCAATGTATTAGTGAAAGATCCAGGGGGCATGGTGGGGGGTCATGGCTGATATCAAGTCTAATTGCTCCCCTGGCCAGGAAAGTTTTTGTTCCTAGAGTGACAACTTATCAAAGTGTACATACCCTGCTATTTATCTGCAGATACAATTGTTATGACTGTAGTGAGAGCAAATGTTTCACGAAATTTCATTTTAAATCACAACAGACCTGTCAAAACCCTCGAAACAGTCAAAATTATATGAATATGTTGCCAGATGCTATGTGCCCCATTAATTTCTGGGTGGGTGGGTGGGTGGGTCATGCAGGTATTTCAGTAGCAATATAGCAGAGATACAGTCATGAAGGGCGTATCATAACGATATGATATCATTATGATAACAAACAAACAAGTACTGGCAGAATATAATGCTGCACAAAGGCACACAATGGTGTTTTTGGTATAACATCAAAGTAACATTAATAGATGGTATAGTTTAAATTAACAATGCCTGTCTGTTTCATATTGAACTGTTTATTTATGGATATTCTGTTACTGTGTCTGTAACAAAACAAGTTGTTTAATGCCTGTTTCATGAGAAGTGTGACATTTGAAACAGTCCTTTTTGTGCGTTATGTACTCAGGTGAATGTGATGTTTGTGGTGTTACTCTGAGTGTGCATCCACACTGGGCAAGCTGACAAGTTTGCCTGACCACGGTGGGAATCTAACCTGTGACCTTTGGGATACTAGTCCAATGTTCTACCAACTGAGCTATGAGGTCAAGTTGGTTAAAATTGGTGATATCTTGGAACTGCATCTAGTTACTTCGATATCAATGTGTTCTAAGGGAGTGTTCATTATTTATACCCGGGGTTGGTACCGAAGAGAAATGGGTTGGGTAAGCCATTTTTCTGGGGTATGAAGGGTTGGGTAAATATTTTTTGAACAAAGCCTATGGTTGGGTAAATTATTTTTAATACAATCGTTCAATTGAACAAAATAATGAAAATCCTTTGTTTAACAAAAAGGGTCATTCCAAGAAATATCCATTCATTCCCCACAAAGAAAACTAAAGTCCAACTCCCCATCCCCTCTGATTACAACAACGAGACATAGTAGGACTGCAGGAACTTGGGAACATAATATGAACTTGTGAAGGTACAAATGATTATATTTTACATTCAGTTAGTGCACCAAATATGAGTACTACTGTTTATACTATGGTGGCCTAGCTTGTATAAATAATATATATGTATGTATGTAAAATACTTGTATATAATTTGAAATTGGGTTGGGTAAAATAAAAATCAAAGTCATGAATTAGTTGGGTAGGGAAAAAAATGGTTGACCGAAAGGGTGGGTGGCTGTTTTTTTCTCTTTTCGATTAGTTTCTCTTCGGTACCAACCTCAGGTATAAATAATGAACACTCCCTAAGATATGATATTTTTTGTGTGTGTTATGTACTCAGATAAATATAATGATATCTGACTATGAATAGACTCAGTTCTAAAATATCACCAACTCGAACCAACTTGACCTTGTCGTAGCTCAGTTGGTAGAGCATTGGACAAGATCCCAAAAAGGTCGCAGATTCAATTCCGACCATGGTCTGGCAAACTTTTCAGCTTGCTTAGTTAAACAGTCTTAATTATATTGCCTGATGCATATGTGGTCCATGGCATGGGTTTTAACTATATTGATGTCAGTTTAATATGAATTATATATATAGTCATTGATGTTTATGCAGGGTGTATAAAAAAACTGAACAGATAAGAATTTGCTCTCAATTTCGCAAAACAGCTGTTAGTATCCAGTTTTTTATGTATATAGCTTCTTTGGGTACTTATAATGTAGAATAATGAAAAAAATTTCTCAAACTCAAATTTTGTTAAACAGGGGATGGCTTGCGCACTAAAGATGGCTTGCGCACGAAATTTAAAAGCTTTAATCATATTTTGAGTTAATAGATGGAAAATTTGTTGGGTTTTTAATTACCGTACAAAATGTCAGACAATTTGCTTCAGTTTAATCCTTCAACTATTCATTTTTTCCTAAATAATCAGCTTTTTGCATGTTTAATTAATGCTTTCACCTAATTTGCATATTGCTGACAAATGCAAATTAGGAAAAGGCATTAATTAAGCATGCAAACAGCTGATTTTTAGGAAAAAATGTAAGTTTGTATGAATAGTTAAAGGGGCTTAAACTAAAGCAAATTGTCTAGAATTTTGTATAGTAATTAAAAACCCAACAACTTTTCCATCTATTAACTCAAAATATGATTAAAGCTTTTAAATTTTGTGTGCAAGCCATTTTTAGTTTGTTGGGAAAGACACAACCCCCTGTTTCACAAAATTTGAGTTTGAGAAATTTTTTCAATATTCTACATTATAAGTGCCCAAAAAAGCCATATACATAAAAAACTGGATACTAATAGCTGTTTTGCGAAATTGAGAGCAATTTCAAATCTATTCAATTTTTTTATACACCCTGTATATTGATGGCCTTTAATTATGTAAGAATCTTTCAACCAAAATGTTGGAAAGTTGATAGGTTTTCATAAATTAGTTGATAAACATTATATATTAAGTAACCCAATTTGAACTTTTAATTGTTGAACATTTATATAGCAGGGCATTGACAAATATGCAGTAATGACATCAAGGTAAAATAACAGCTGATTGACAAGATAAGTATGGGAGTGTAAAACGAGAAAGAGTGTGCGAGAGAGAGGAGTGATACATAACCGCAAATTAAAAACTTTACTAGAAATACATGCATGCAGTATGTAAAATCGACATCTAAGGTCCGTCCATTAATCACATTGACTCCCTCGTAATATTATTAACATGGTGTAAGTGAGAACAGTTACAACACAATGAGAAAAGCTTTTCATTAGAGTAATTGGTGCCCCAGAACTACAATGTGTCCTTGCCCATAACTGGCAGATGGAAGATCTCATCATCTTTTGTGCTGAGCCAAAGTCTTTTAGTGTTTTGGGTGTGGATCCGATGTTCAATGTAGGTCGCTTCAACTTGACCAAATTGAAAGGTAATTACTAAAGAAGGTGGTGGTCACCATCCAATCATGATTGGACCTATTTCTTTTCAAAAGTAAGTCATTCCCTTTTGATTTTCGTATTCTGAACTAGGTTATCGTAAAGCACTGATGTGCGTAAGAAACAGTAGCATAGCCAGCCCAACGACTTAGTCTAACTATTGACTGTGAAAACAACCAATTTCTAAAGAAATTAATAATGAACATTTTGGAGATTAAATTGTCAGGTTGGCCAATGCCAGTGATGAGAAACTATAGAATATAACACAAAAACCTTAAATTGAGCCAATGGGTTCTTTTATTATATATATACATGCATGTAACTCAAATTTCATGCAATATACGTTTTTCACACATGAAAGTTTCCGTAACAATAAGAGTCACATATAGCTTTTTTTGGTACAATATAATCAATTATATGGCACAATACAATCAATTACAATATGGCAATATCAAGATATTATACATAACAATGAAATTGCTCCCATGTCAATTTCAAAACAAGATTTTATTCATTGCAGAGTTATTTTTATATTAAATATCTTTCAAAAAAGAAAACGAAATGCTTAACCTTTAGTGCACCACACGTCCAATACAATGGACATTGCATTTTGGTTGTTGCACAACAGTCAATTTCCCTCTTTGGGTGATTTGTGGGCTTTTTTCACATGTGGAGGTCTCAAACTCGAGGGACAACATCAAATGTTTGCATCATCGATTAATTTTTCCTTTCACAATATGGTGGTCAAGTTTGACTATCACCACAAGGTACATTCAGTCATTTTAATTGTTTATTTAGATGACAAATAGTTATAAAAGTGTAATTATCTGATTAGTTATATTTAGAAGGTTTTTATTTTGTTTTGAAATCATTTTTGATGACCAAGGGTCAAAATTAGTGTGAAAATATTTGTATTTTTTGGTTGTCCAGTGTACTGGACAATGTGCATTTATGGCATAACCTCATGGCATTCTGTTGTGTAATAGGATGTTCATTTGTTTGTGTATTTCAACTGAAAAAAGACAAGTTTTGTGGTTTTAATTTAATATTTATGTGATTGTATACATTAAGGTCATTTTATGGGTCCCAAAGGCATCAAGGAACTATTTTGCCAGTCCCAAATGCAGACATAGGTAGAGATGAAAGCTCTTCAGATGAAGGAAGTGATTCTAAGGAAGAGCCAGCTGTCGAGTCTGACAAATAATCGATTCAATCCTCATCAGGTAATCATCAAAATTTTAGTATTGTAAACCTTTGAATGTAACCCCCCCCCCCCCCATGTATTCAACCACAATATTCACAAAATCTCAGACCTTTCTGAATATAAGCCCACCACAATAAGCCCTTCTGTGCATAAGTCGATGGGCTTATCATTGGGCAACAGTGCAGATGAATAACAATAGTTACATTGCAGTATTATAATATGTTTTATTATGTTTATTTCTTTTTGTTCATGATATAGTTTACAGGTACAATAAAAATTACTAACACCAAAAGTTGTCTGTATATAAGTGTCCCCAGTGTGTAAGTAAGATGTTTCGGGCATTCTGTTCTCGCAGCCTTTGAAGTAGTGAGGACATTCACAAACCGTCGTCTTTTATTTTTCCACCCCAGAGTATCTGATTCAGACACAGAACAACAAGATGTTGACTTATCAAATGATATTGATGATCAAATAAAATGGTTACGCAAAGCCAAAGGTAGTTGGATTGTTTCAAGAGAATCCAATATTGATGAAAAGAATCTGACACTGAATCCAAAATTTAGTGACACAGTGACCAAAAATAGTCGACCCATAGAATTTTTCGGGTTATTCGTAACAAGTGAATTACTAGAGATGATCTTGCACCAAACCAAGTTGTACGCAACAACGCAAGCCATCAACAACAGTAACGGTATCTGAACAGACGATATCACCATTGACGATATTAGGAAAGTCTTTGGAATTGTTCTGTACATGGGAATCTTGAAGTTACCCAATAGGCGGATGTACTGGCAAAACCAGACAAGAGTGGATATCATTGCTAATGCAATGTCAGTAAATCATTTGCAAAGATCATGCAACTTCTGCATTACAATGACAACAATCTGATTCTCAGTACTGACAGTGCAGATTGCAACAAATGTTTCAAAATCCAGCCACTCGTTGATTATATTTGAGCCAAATTTCTTCCTGCCATTGTTCCCGAAACGTACATCGCTGTTGATGAGCAGATGGTCCCCTTCAAAGGATCTAAAGAGGTGTCTTCCGAAAAAGCAAAAAAAAATGGGGCCATAAGCCCTTGCTGGTGTTTCTGGTTATGTGTACACCTTCGAGGTTGATGGCAAGAAGGGGAAACGCAGGCCGATTAATGCTTGGCTCTTGCTGGCTCTGCCCATGCTTCACTTGATATGTCCGTATTGCGCGAGCGATTAAACATATGCAGCGTGTTGCCATTTGAGTGCGTTTTGGCATTCGAATGAAACTGAAATTTAATAACTATGAGCTGTTGGATATTTTATATTATGTTAGATTATAGCAACCAGCAGGGATGTGTAAATTATCAGTTTTTCTTGTACAATTGGCCGTTGTATAGTATAATATATCATATGCGATATGCGGCGACCTTTGAACTTTGATATATAATGCTATTGCAGGATTTTATGTCTCAATTATTCAACATCGATTTGTGATTCCTCTGTAGTTTCCCACTCACAGAAAAATATTTGAAATACAAATAAGTACCCAGCATATGGATAGTTCAAACTTTTTTGGGGTGGTGATGTTTAAGTGTGACATATTTCTCTTAAAAACTTAAGGACGCAATAAATGTTGTTGTTGAAATATAATATCCTTTCATATAAAGACTCAGCTAGACTCCTGTCAAATATTCTCTCAATATATAAACGAAAATATGTACTTATGATATTGTACTTCTGTACATGTTGTTCTCTCTGTTACTCACATATTATTTGAATACACTACTTACTGGTTGCAAATGGTTTATCAGTCATTGTGTATTTGTATTTCATAATATTTTGTTTCACGGCAGGGGGCTGTATTAATGATCATGGTGAGCGCGAATTCATCACACAAAAAACCTGTTGGACTTGCCGACTTACAAGACAACGTTAATGTCGGTCGCTAATATGTAGATTTGGTCCAGAGTACAGCCAACTTTGGTCCTACAATTAGATTTGTAAGCATTGTAATCTGGAACGATTGTTTTAGTGCAAATTATATTGACATTGTGCAAGACATTGTTGTATTCACAGCAATATTTTCATATCAGTGGCATATTCTTTAAGTTCCTAATTACCACATTGCAGTATAAGAGTAAAAGGTTCTGGGATAATATTTTTGTACATATCCATGAATGTTTAGTAAGTCTGCAAGCCGTGTTTATAAACATTAAGTTAATTTCCATTATCACCGCCTATATCTTGTCACATGACCAGTTTCCATGGAAAGCAAACTGTTGAAAAATATCGGCAGTTGATTTCCAACATCTCACCCGAAAATAAGAGCCGTAGTGTACTTTGTTAATTTTTAATTAATATTTAAAGATTTTTCCTATTTTCCCACTCCTTACGAAATTGGAGCCAGGCATTGATGCACCTGAGAAACAGGTCTGCCTGAAGGATCCAATCCCCCAGAAAAGTGTGGCCTGAGCGGATATGTTGTGAGGTGTTTGGTCAAGAAGCTTGAGGAAGATAAACACAAACTTTTCTTCTACAACTTCTTCTCTACCCCAGAGCTTGTGCAATATTTATCGAGTAAAGGTTTTAGGGCACTATGTACCTTGAATGTCAACAGATCAAGAAATTGTCCTCTACCAAGTGAGAAAGATTTGAGAAAGAGTGGCAGAGGTTCCTCAGAAGAGAGAGTATGAATGAGAGAGTATGAATGAGAAGTCGGTTGTGGTAACATCATGGTATGATAACAAGAGAGTCCTGATGATCTCCAACTTTGTTGGCAAGCAACCTGTGAGAAAGTGCACAAGATACGACAAGAAGAAAAGGGAGAAGGTGAGCATTGCACAACCAGCTGTGGTAGATTTATACAACTCGTACATGGGTGGAGTGGATAAATCCGACATGATGCTATCCCTGTATCGTACCAAGTACCGATCAAGAAAGTGGTACCAAAGACTAGCCCTACACCTCAGTCAATGTGCAGTAAAGGTATGGATCATTTACAGAGAAATGGGTGGAGCAGAACGTTACCTCAAATTCCTCATGGAGATCTGCATCACACTTCTGACAGGAAACCCACAAGGCGAGGCATCCGACAACGAGCCGCCAGCACCACCAAAGAAAAGAATGAAAGTTACTGATGTCCCGGAATGTCTGCAATTTGATAAGTATGATCATTGGCCAATGTTGATAATCACACCAAATGCTCAAAGATGTAAAATGGAAGGATGGAAAAAGAAAACTATGTTCAAATGCAGCAAATGCCAAGTGTATTTTGTGTATGAATAAGAGTACTTGTTTCCCAACTTTTCATGGGAAATAGATATCTGTGCATTTGTAAGACAACAGGACAAACTTAAATGCTTTAGTTAAATAGATTTTGTGCCAATATTTCTATATATGTATATAATTAGTAAACTAAAATAACAAGAACCTATTTTCAATGATTTCATGTCTAATATGCATGTTGTCCAGTGTACTGGACAAAATTGTTTACCTCCTCTCGATTATTTTTTTCAAAAATTTTTGTTAATATCATATGACGACTCCCTAAGGAACATTCTCACCAAATTTTATGAAATTTAAAGCCCAGGAAGTACCTCGTGCATTATAGGGTTAAAGCAAAATGAATAGAAATATTTTATTGTAAAGAAGTAAATATATAACAGCAAGTACGGGCACCAAAGTTGTTTTATGGACTAAATTTGATTTGCACATTTAACATATTCAACTGCAGTAAGTGAGGAATATATGTACTTGTTGCAAATACAATTATGTATGCCTTGTTTTCTTATAAGGTAATTTATATGGACTATAAGACAATGTACATGACATTTGTTATGTGCCATCCTAACTTATTCTTTTCACTTTGTGCATTTTCAGTTGGTAGCTTTGAATAAAGAGGCATGAAATGTTCTCGCTCATGGAACAGATGGCGAAGGAAAACTTTTCAAGGCACTGAAATACAGATTTCCATATGCTGTTCATCTCCATTGTTTTCATGCACTTCTGTGAAAACTGCAAGATCCAGTTTAAAAAAATGTCCTTGAAGTGCACGAGGAGGAAATTTTGGCAGATATATTCAGTTGTCGGGCTGAAGACACATGGGAAAATGGTAATGCTTTATTCATGTACAGAAGGACCTTAAACGTTTTTCAGTATATGTAGATAAAAATAAGATCAGGGTGGCGCAAAGGAATTTTCCTTAATTTAATGACTCAGATCGAATGGCCGGTTTACATAGCCACTTGGGATAGCGCTTAGCCCCCTCCCCCCAAAAAAAACATAACTGAAGAAATTTTAATATTTCTGCCCAGAACTAATAATAAGCCAATTGACCAATGTTTCTATGTTTGGGCGAATCACCGGTTCCATACTATGCAAATGATTCGGAATTGTGCAATGCAGTGATAAGACGACCTGTCCAATTCAAGGAAAACAAGATTTCCGAATTTGTCCATGAGGTGAGCGTCTTGTTGCAGTAGAAAAAGAATGATGTAGAGTCCTTTTAAATTGGCAAATGATTTCAGAAAGTTTTACGTTTCCTAATCAAACTGGTTCAAGAAGAGAAATGAGCAGAAGGATCAGCACATGGACAATTTCCTGAAGCACAAAGATGGCCAATAAAACAGGAAATGAAGCCACAACTTCTGCTGCTAAATGTACACCAAGAAAATTATGTTGAGTCGAGTTTTGTCAGTTGACCTGGTTAATGCAAACATTGTTTCTGAGGAGTTGGCATGGATTTGTTTTATGTACAAGTGATTTCGCCCAATGGCCAACAAAATTTTCCAGGTTAATTGAAGAAGAAATAAAAAACAAGCTTTTGTGTATCTGTATCTTGTTTATGCATATGAAATGCTTCTGTACCTTTGATACAAACAAATTTTATTATGTAGGAAGGGTAGGCATTTGCATGCACTTGTGTTCGAAAACAAATCAGCACATTATTTGGGGTGCATCAATGTTTGGTAGACATTCATTTTCACTGTCATTAATCAACATCCCTACATATTACAGAATAATAATATAGGTGTGTAATGCATAATTTTTATACTCATCGCTCTTATGCAAAGTGGATAGCTGACAGTTTGATGAAGGAAATGATAATTCCTCCTTATCATATATTACTGAGTCAAAAATAACACAACATAACATAACACTTGCAGAATTATATAGCCCCTCCCCCCCAATAAAACAACTGAGGAAGTCCCAATATGCAAGGATCAAATGTATTTCTGCCCAGAACTAATAATAAGCCAATTGACCAAGCTTCAGAGTGTGATATCTTCCCAAGATTCTGGGTGGTCTATAACGGATCATCCCACAGTTTGTTGACCACCCACCCCAACTTTAATCTTCTCCCTCCACCTCTGGCAGTCAAACAACTATTATTTTTCGCCCTGTCTGGTTTCCTTTGTTTTTATCAGGAATATATTCAATATTCCCTTCTAATCAATTTCCTCTAATATTCACCTGCAATGTCTTTGCAGCACAAAAAATGAGAAAAAAACATCACGAAGGCAATAATATGGCATTAAGAATTATTTCTATTCTGACTCATTAACATGACCTCGCAATGTGAAAAATAAGTAAGTTATTTTGAGGCACCTCAGGGATATGTGTTTATTCACCTCGGTGCTGTGTGCCTCTGTGAATAAATCACATATCCCCTTGTTGCCTCAAAATAACATATACACCTCATTTCATGATATTAGTTCATAATATTACATGGAATACCTCAATCGGGGCAGTATTAGTGATTAATTGAACTGGCAAAAAGACACTGCAAAACACACAAACATGATATGAAATTTAAACTCTTAAAAATTCAATTCAAATGCAGGTCTTGTTGACACCATCAACAAGGAAGATTTTGTGACATAGCTATCACTTTCTAAGGCTGTGTGGGATTAGAAGGAAAGATGTTTTTTAACTTGCTGCAATCTCCGTGTTTTTTTTTGTTTTTTTTTTGGTTCTCGCTCTATGACCTAGGAGGGAAATCAGCACTATCTTCTTTGGCTTAACTTTGACTGTTATTTTGCAACCATGCACATAAAAGCCATATTTTCTGCACATGTCACGGCCCACACATGTTTACGTCTTTATACACCACACACAACCTACAATTCTTCACAAATGAGACCACAAGACACAATGCTTGCAATAACTGTCAACATTACTTTGAAGGGAGGGGGAAGAACTTGAATTAGTAGGTCTTTTTACTGGATAGATGCTAAAAATTTATTTCTTTATTGAATACCGGTGTGTTGACAGAAAATTGACCTAAGTTTTATTTTATACTGGAGAATAAACGGACACAAATTATATTATCTCAAACACCTGTCAGGGTTTTTGTACTTGTACTAATGCACCTATCAATGTTAAGCCTGGGGGGGGGGGGGCAGGGGGCGGGGGACTCAGGTACATTAATGCCTGGGTCTCAGTTTGTGTATTTAGTGAAAATAAACAAAAAATCATAAAAAAATAAGTATGGCCTTGATTATTACCATTCAAGTTTTATATGATTTATCAAAGGATATTCTAAAAGTTGACCTACTTTTCGTTGTCATGGCAACGATCATGTGATGTATATTTCGAAAAACAACACAAAAAATTATACTTTTTATTCAGAGGCTCTGCAGCAGTATATTTCGTGACTGAGAGGACGCAGAATTGCGATAATCATTCACACATAATATCATTGTTTATTGAATAAATTCGGAAAGTTTACATTTAGGCTTCGTTTCATTATTTTATGCGGCTATATTACGATGATCGGCATCAAACGAATGTTAATCGCGTCATTAAATGTTATCTACAAATAAATGTACGGTTTCCAAATTAACGCAGGAAACTTTGTT